AATATATATGAAAAATTGATGTGGGTACTTAAATGAAAGGTCTCGATGAGTGTAATATCGAGATTAGCTTATATCTTCAAAAATATCATTAGGTGACAAGATAGCAAAATCAGTTCTTAATTATTGATATTTTTTAAGATATAAGCTCATCCCGATGTTACACTCATCAAGAGCTTTCATTTGAGTACCCACATGCATTTTGATATATTTTTCATATATACATATATATAATATATATAAATATATGAAAAATTCATGTGGGTACTCAAATGAAAGGTCTCGATAAGTGTAATGTCGGGGTGAGCTTATATCTTTAAAAATGTCAATAGTTCACAAGATACAAGGTCATTTCTTAATTATGTATCTAGAGATAGAGTATTTTCGACTGCAGCCTAAATACTTATCATAATAAATTGAATATCGGCGAGAATGATATGAAACCTTGAAATGGCACAAATTCAAGTCAATACCTTTGAAACGACACTAAATTTCTCTAAAAAAACCGATTTTATCATATGACTATCCTGGTCACAAAATTTTTTTTATTCTCTTAATAATATAGATACTTAATTCCTGAATGTTTTCTTTTTTTTTTTCAGATATATTTCAAGAAAAAAAGTCTACAGAGAGGTACCATCGAATGAAGTAGACAGAATAGGAATAAATTTAAAAGAGACTGTTCAATTAGAGCTAAAAGTACCAAAAATGTCAGCGACCGAAAGATGACATAAAGAATAAATAATAAATAAATAAATAAAAAATTATAAATATAAAGGAGTTGTAAAGAATAAATAATAAAGTAAAAGTAATAAAAGCCATTGCAGGCAAAGTATTGTAGATCAGATACTCTTTAAAGTCAATACAAGTGAGAGATTGTAATTTCTAAAGTGTCCTTCCGGCTATACGCTGTAGCTGCAGAAAAATCTTTTATCTTTTTGTATAAACTGAAAGTTTAATGGTGACTATAGCGTTGAGCCTCGTAGCTTGCTCGTATAAGCTGATCCTTTAAACTCTCGCAACTCAATTCCCGCCCTGAGCACACAAAGCGAGCTGGAGCAAGAGAATAGTTGAGCTTTCTCATACTCTTTCACTCGGTCGCGCAGCTTGTTTCCCATCATCGATCCCTTCCGAGGAATTGGGCCAGCATTGACGCAACCCCCTTGCTCTCTCTCTTTCTCTCTCTCGCGCCACCGCCTCCTATTCGACGTGTCCGGCCAATTATTTATATGTCAACTTGTTCTATTCTATTTCTACCCGCAGCCACCCCATCAATGACATCAATGACATCAAATCACTGTGACACATGTACTATTTCCGTTCTTCTGATGTTGTTGTTGTTGTTGTTGTTGTTGTTGTTGTTGTTGTTACCATTTATATAACTCATGAAATAAAATACAGCAGCATTTATCGTCCAACTCCAATCAAACTTTAACAATTATTTTTATTTTTATTAATTTGTTTATCGAAGATTAATAAATAGGTAACAATCCCGATGCCGAACCCAGTTAAATTTGATTTACGTGGAACGAATAAAAAATAACCGAAAGAGGACTAAGTAATATATAAGGGAAATAGCTGAAGAGGAGAAGAAGAAGAGAAATGAAAATAAAATAAAAAAAGAGGTAGTTTTAAAATGTAGTAGCGTGCATTGTAAATCGGTGCGGCAATTATGTCGTTACGTCCATACAGTTTAATTAAGCTCGACGTACCAAGCTCGTCGAATTAGGTACTCGAGAATTTAATTGCGTCTGCGCGTAAACCAGGCATATATACATACATTGAATTTACTCCCCGGTCGGATATCAGTCTATCGACGATGACAATGCAAAAAAAGTAACCGAACCTGAGTCGCTTTTTTACAACTCATTTATTTCCCTTGTTCTTTTCGCAAAAAAAAAAGGACCACCGAGTTACCAACCTCGATTATTTTTACTGAAAATAATTATTACTTTTTTTTTTTATTTTCCCCAGTCTATTAATGGTGAAAAATAATATTTACTCACCGACAAATGAATATAAATTTATTAACAAAAAAAATATTATGCATCTTTTGAGTGGGTGAAAATGTTTTAAAAACAAAACGGTGGATGTTTTTGTTTTTACATAAAAGTATTACGAGAATAATGAGAAAAGGAAAATATATTAATAAAAATATAAATAGAGGAGCTAACCATTGTTATATAGCAGTGTTTTATTATATTATAGAAAAAGTAGAGCTTTTTTCTCATTCTCACTTTTCACTTCTCATTCGGGATCGTAATTAGTTGTGGTTGACTGTACCGAGTCCGTCACCCCCGCTCATACTCATAGCTACTGAGCTTTACAAGGTAGTTACTGTTACACTATTGCTGTTCCAAGCTGCAAGCTGCTATAATAGTCCGTGTACGTTTAGGTAACGAGCAAAGTAGATAGACGTTGTATGGGAACACCAGGACAAAACGACTTGAATGTTGTTTCTTTGTTTCCCATTCCCAGTTGTGTATGTCGACGTAGATCAGGAGGACGATGTTTAACAAGATAGAAGATAGAACAGAGGAAGATGACCAGAAAATAGAGATCAAGTTAAAAATAAGAGAATGGGGAATCTTGTACTGGCGAGTTGCCTGGTCATCCCAATGGAAGAGATAACATGTATACATAATCTCCGCGTTTGCTCCCGAGGAAATAGAATGTGGCATCAGACAGAGGGTGGAAAGATAAATTGACAACAAAGTATACATACATATATATATATATATATATATATTATATATTGCGTATTATATATTATACGTAAAAAAAAAAGAGGGAAAAAAATTAATGAACGGATTCCCTGGGGATGATTTTCAAATCTCTATCATTATTTTTTAAATAATTTACTCGTTTTTATTTATTGGATAAATTTTTCCGACGATAAGTTCTGATGGCATTCAAAATTAATACTTTGAATTTATGATTGGGTTTAAGAGAAATTTAAAATTTTTTTTTGAGATCCTCGTCCGTGAAAAAGTCATTTGCTATCGTTTAATACTTTAAAACTTTGTAATTTTTTTTAAACTTCCAAAGACGGGTTCACCTTGGATAGGGCGTAAGGTTACCTTGCAAAGTATTGACTTGCTATTTTTTTTACTCTCTCCTCATTGAATATGCTCCAAATTGCTGAAGAGATTTACAAAAACTAATATTACTCGGGAGGTTTTATTTACTATTGCCTTGAGAGTTTCAAAAATCTCTCAAAGTTTTAGATATTAATAAATTAAAATCAACTAAAGATCAATATCTGTACTAATAAATGGAGAGCCGGTTTTTTTGTTCATACTACTGAACCGATCGGAACGATATATCAGTATACTTATAAGATGCAGCGTGTTTCGGAGAAGGTTTTAGTATATGATGTGTTGGCGATTTCTTATCCGGAACCTTTAATTTTTTTAAATTTAGAAATAATGAATTTTAATTGTAACTAAATTTATTCTGTTCGATTGTTATTTGTTTAGAATAAATTTTTTAATTCTATTGGTTATGTTTATGTACTAGGCAGATTTCTTCACTTATGAGACCTGCAATTTCTTTAACTGAAACTTTCAATGCTCATTACAAATTTTTTTTTTTTTTCATATCAATTATTATTCATTTTTGTCAGAAAGACATTGGAATGTTATAATCATTGCACTTTGAAAGTTACAATGAATATTAGCTAGAATAATTACATGCCAATTCGATAGAATTTGGAATCTGGACAAGTCAAAACAATACTCTAATTAAATTCATTTTATACTACGGTTCAATTCCAGTTCAATAAAATATAGTAATAATGATCAGGATCACGGGTAATTGGATAAATAAAGTTAATCAATTCAAACAATCATTGATTTGCAACGTTTCGTCTTTATTATTAAGACTTTATCAAGCTCTGGAAAATAATATAAAATATAAATTAACAACTATTTTTTTTTAATTTAATAACCATTATAAACACACAATATTAATAATCCAATGACTAACCTCAACATGTCTAAATTTGTCGTCAGATTAAAACGAATACATACACGATCCTTTTCAATATAATTATCATTGTAATTATCAATTGATAATTTGATAAACACAAGAATATTTATAACAAAAAATTACAAACGATTGATCAAAAAATATATAAATAAGCCTTTCCAGCATGTGCTTGATAAAGTCTTAAGAATAAA